TTGTTGTTGTTATTCCTGCCATTGTTGTCTTCCTGTATCTGGTGCTAAATGTTGTAAATTCAGAGAAATATTTAAAATTGTAAAGGAACCTAAAGAGATGGTGAAATTAAACACACAGGAGTCCTGCAAATGCATATGGAAGGGGTATGTCTTCATTTAAAATGCCAAGTCAAATCAATGTAAAGTGATACACTACTGATGTAGCCGCTTTTATTGCACATCAGCTTTGCATTTCCCCAGGCCCTGGGAAACAAAGAATCAAGCTGCATGTTTTCATAGCAGAACTCCTCTTTGAGAACTGAATTGGAATATCCACGCTTCATATGTTATAGCTGGCAGTCAGGAGGCAAGTGTTTTAAGGGTTAGCTGAGCTTGTATGATACTTGTCAGATCCAGAGCGAGAGCAATCCCCGTGCACGCTCCATCGAAATGGTGGCTCACAGAGGACAGCAAGGAACACAAGCGAGAGGTGGCGAAGCCAGATGGATGAGCTGGGTTCAAAGTCCTCCTAGAAGCTATGGCAACATAGCTCGTATATCTACTCAGAAAAGCCTTTGCAACTGCCACAAATGACTCTACATGGCCTTATTTTCCCGCTAGCAATGAAATAAGCAGCTTCAACGGGGAGGAGTAAATCCATTTGATTGCTCACATTGCTGGGAATAACCATCTTATTAGTTATTAGTAATAACCCAAGCTATGCCTAGCAGTGTGGCCACCGGAACAGAGACAGCCTTATCTGCCAGAGAATCATTGTATCATTCCTAACGTTTCCAATTCCAACTGAACAAGGGGAGTCAGAAAGGCAGCAAGGGAGCAAGATTTGTAGGAAGTGAAAGGCTACAGAAAGACTTGGGTTATAAATAACGCGTGCAACACAAGTGGAAAATATCAGGGCCCTTCTGAAACCAAGAGAAACTTTGGAGTAGGAGTTTGGCAGGGCAAGGCTGAGCTCCTTCTGTTCTTGACTTTCTTTTAAGCCAATGCATGATATTCGTATGCTAGGTGATATGATGGAGGGGGTACTGGCTTGTTAGCTCCTCTTATGAAGGAAAAGGGCCTTCTGTACCTTGGGTGTGTGACACAGCGGCTGTCAAACTTAGGGTTCAGTTCCAGGATTTAGAGGAAAATTCCCCATCGAAATTGATGGCAAAGCTCCTAATCGCTTCCCTGTGGGAAGGAGGTGCTCTGACACAGAAACGCCCTGGGAAATTCACATTTAGAGTAGATCAGACTCTGCTCTCATTTATGCAATTATAATACAGCGTAGCTCCATTTGAAACAACTGTTTTCATCCAATGCAAATGAGATCAAATCTGGCCTCGGCTGTTTTCGTACACAATGGAAACTGACTGAATTATAGAAAACAGGAAACAAATCTAATGTAAATCTAAATGGAAATATCATGCTCTCTGTTACATCAGGATAAATGGGAAGTGAGTCTGTTGAATCTAATGGCATTCATCTGGATTTACACCAGACTCTGGCTCAGCATTTGTCAGTTGGCTGCACACTGACATCAAAACGCAAACCATGCTACCTCATCTGAATAGCTTTGAACAATTTCCTCCTTTTTCTTTGCATTTAAACAATTGCCTCTGCATCCTGATAGCTGATTAGCCTTTTCAGACAAATAAAAAACAGATATCAACAAATAAGCCCTGCTCTCACCAGCATTTTCAGAATCTAAATGATGAGTCTGAAAGCGCCAAGCTTGGTTTTGGAGTCACTTAGATTTGCTCCCTGTTCCTCTGCGTTTACAATAAAGAGCAGTAGGACTGAACCCACGGGAAAACAGAGCATTGCAACAACTATTCTAATTGTCCCAAAGTACACTGAATTCATTCCCTTCCCACCAGCAGTGGTTAGGAGACCTTTCAGTAGGTAACCAAAATATTGCCAGTGTTGCTACTTCAGCTCTTGCTCAGTTCAGATGGTCAGGAGGGAGCCATAAGCTTCACTGATGCATCTAACAGGAAACTGGGTCACGCTCTGGCCCTGCAGACAAGTTACTTCACCTCTGTGTGCCTCTGCCGCTGGCCACAAGAGCCATCTGCTCATGGGGCACTCTTCATGGGGAAACTGAGAGAGCTAACTAATCTCTCCGTAGCAAACTAGACACGCTGGATGAAAGTCACTGGCAAAGCACAATGTCTGAGTAAGAGCACAGCCATGTCAGGCTCTTCCCTTGGATCTCACTTACCCCAGCTCCTTACCTAATTTGGTTTTTAATCTGTATTCACATTTCTCTTTGGATAATTAGTAAAATACATCTTAATTAAAAAAGAGGAGAAGACGACGATCCGCTAACAAAAAAAGCCCTAACAGGAGGGGATCTACGGAGAGACAAAGCCATTATTCCAACACAAATAGTGGTGGTAATTAGGAAAACGTGATAATAACTGCTATAGGGAACATTTGAAGGGTAAAGAGCTCTCTGAAAGTTGGATAACTGTTTGCCTGAACACCCTTATTTCAAGGGACTAGCTAGCGGTTGAAGTCAGAATATCACAAACTCTGGCCTGCACTCTGTCTCCTGGTGAGAAGAGGTATGGGGCTGGTGTGGCCAGCCATCCTTGTTTCTATTTCTCTCTCTGCCACTGATTTCCCGTGGGATCCTAAAGAAGCTACTCTGGCAAGATTTTCACAAGTGGCCCCTGTTTATGATTGCCTCCATGGCTAGGTGTTCTACCTGAGACATGTGCAACAACCTTTTGCTGGGTCATTAGCAGCAAAGCTCACGTGGACCTCAGCCAGTGCCCAAACCTGCCAACCACTATCTCTCAGGGCCTTGATGTTCCTACCTGTAAGATTTTACAATAAATACTTGCCCAATTTTATAAAGCTATTCAAGATCCTTCAATGAAATGGAGGCTTTCAAAGAGCTGTGATTATCATGGTTTAATCTTGATTAGGCTTATTCCTGCAGGTCAGCTGTGCTTAATTTGTGAAAGCTTTCTCATTGCTGGCACTGCAGAGCCTCTGTGGTATGCAAAAGTCTTGCTATCTTGTTTCTGTTTTTTACAGCATCACCTGGAATAAATGCCTGCAGCCAGGATGCACCTGACAGTTGTGGTTTTGATACACAAGCAAAAGAGACTCCAGCTCACTCACTACTCACAGCCTCTATAACTCTGTTAGCTGTGTACCAAAGGCTTATTTTATCCACGTCAGTGAAGTTGGCACGTGTGACTTGGAGGCAGATAATAGAAATGAGGAGTAACTGAGTCCCAGTCCAATCCCAGCTCTCTGCAAGAATGCACCATACGCAGTCATGGGCAGTATTGGACTGTAAAGTGCATGTAATCTTAGTGAATCAGCTAAAGCCAATTTGCCAAGCTCCTTGGAGAGTCTCAGCAGCATCACTTTTTTTACTCACTGACTGCAAATGATCCTAGTCACACAAGAATTGGATACCAGGGTTTTAAACCTATACTGAGGTGGGTGTAATAGGACCACCAAATGCAGAGACAAGAGAGAATCACAATTGCACAGACATCTTCTGCTCCAGTAATTCAAAACGACTGAGGGTAGGGGGAATAATTTGCTTTTACAGGAATAAAACTCTTCAAGGCAAGGACCTTAAAAGTGGAGATAACTGTAATTTACTCTTCACACTGTGCAGTGGAGAATCAGGCCCAAGCTTGTAGCTGCAAGCTTTAGTTATAAATGCTGTGGACTGGATTGTGCGGTGCAGAGCTTTACTGAGTGACTAGTCTCATTGATTTGAGAACTGCTGTCCCCAGGGTACGGCATTGCTTTATGTGAGCCTGGATGTGAGACACTAGGCTTGAATCTGATCTTGTATTCTGAAAGATCAAATGTTCTTGGTGGGTTTACAGCTGATCTACAAACTTGAATATGCATGCGACTTGGCTTCAAGAGCCGCTAGGATCTTGATAAGCCTCTTATTAAGTTATTCTCCTAACTAAAGCATATCAATATTGGGCAGAATCCTATCCATTTCAGCACGGATGTCAGACTCTCATTGTGAACACAGAGATGGGTTTTATGTCAGAAATTAGATTTGGCCACGATGGCAATAGAACAGGTTAGCCTATAAACCCAGAGTATATTTGCAAACTCTGTCTATTTAAAAAGAAATGCACTAATAGAGGACTGATCTCCTGAAATGTTAATTTGAATAGTTTTGACTGTGGATTCGTTTTATTCCTGGGAAATTTCAGAGTACAAAAAAATTTTTATTTTCCTTCTTCGTTTGCCAAGAATCTCTTTGAAACTTGTTTGTAATATAGCCTGAGTCTTGAGTCAGATCTTTAGCTCACATAAACAGATGTATCTCAATTGACTTCTGTAAACAGATGCTGATATACGTGAGCTGAAGATCAAGGTCAAGAAAACGAAAGCAAGAAACTGCTAGGTATGGTACTTTCTGACCAGGGAAGTGGTTATTCCAGGTAATGTATTACTTCCTAAAACACTGGTTCTTCCAAAATGACAGTGTTACCCATTTGGGACGTGAATGTCTAGAACGTGTCTTAGTGACCCAATGCTGCCCTTGAAACAATCCCTTTTTATGCTGATAGATAGTTTGAGGACTTTATGACCGTCTGCTCTGCTTCCCAGGGCGTGTTCAGGTAATGCTGAATGCTTGGAATAAAAGTATTTCATTATGAAAAAATCAGAAAGTAAATTTTTTTAAATGCAAAGCCTTTGGTGACCTTTCCTGATTGTGAATCGGAGATTGCGCTGTATGGGAAAGAATCTTGATTATTTTATTTTACGTGATTTTGCTGCTTCTAAAAGCAAGTGGTTGAAAGACATATGCTGGCAAAGTAGCAGATGAGGAGCATGGATGGTTGGGTATGGAGATGGCTGAGTGGAGAGGGACATAAGGAAGATGTGAGATAGAGCTGTGAGTAGGGAGAGCCGCCCACAGGCTAATGAGACACTAAAATTAGGAAAAAAAAGGAGAAAAAAGGAAGAATGAGTAACTGGAGCCTTGGTTTACAGCCTTAAATACTGAAATTCATTCTTACCGTGGGGCATCCTTCCATATTGCTGCAGTGTGGTACACCGGAGGAAGGCCTGGATCACTCAGTACCAAGTGCTCGGAGAGATGTTCAGAAGGGAGTCTGGACATGAAGATAGAAGGTGAGACTGCACAACAATGAAGAGGGCACAAAAAAAGGTTAGAGGGTTAAGCTAGGTTTAGTTTAAGCTCTGGGCACATTAGGACAAAACTGTCCAGTTCTGGTTCCCTACAACTTCCTCTGAAGCTTTCAGCACAGCAACAGGATGCTGGAAGCAGAGTCCCCTGCCGCTAAGCCTCCCTCGTCTCTCAGAAGTGACTTTTTTGTAGTTTAATAGTAAGTTGTCAGTTTTCAAGCCTGTCAGCACAGTGCCTTTCTCTCACCCAGTGAGTAGCTCATTTCACCCAGGAGTTATTCTTGGTATATATTAAAGAGAAAAGAGCTTCCTTTTTCCTTTGAAGGAGAGAAAAGATATAGTCTTCCTGACAGAACCCCAATGAAAGTACTGGGCTATCAAACGCTAGGAGAACTTCCTAAAAATATTAATCATGATAACACCAAAAGCCACAAGAAGCTCCCCTGACAGACAACATAAGAATGATGCCCTGGCCAGTCCAGCTCAGGACTCTTCTCCTCTTTGTCCTGGTTGACTGCATTTTGTTTCTCTTTTCTTTCACTTTGAGCATGGGGAAAGAAGGGGAAGCAGGCCTAGAAAGCAATTTCCAACCTGCTTTCCTATCTGTCTGTCTGCTCTGTACAAACAGTTGTTTTTCTTAGGGATAAAGGCTGAAGATAATTCCTTTAAGTGGCAATTAAGCTCTAGGTGGCTGCAGAAAGCTGCAGCTTTCCCCAGCTCCTACAGAGCCACAGCTTGAGCCACAGGTTTCCCTTCTTCCCTAACCCAAGGAGACTTTTTTCTTGTCTTTGTGTTGTCTCTGACGTTGTGATTACTCCTCCACTTCTGCAGGGTAACCCAAAGTGAATGGAGCAGCGGGGAAAATGCCAAATCAAGGATGTGCCATAAACTTCCTGCGCCCCCTTTCAGAAAGGCACTAATTTCACAGAGCAGGAAATAGTCTCCTCTCAATCCTGATTTCATCTCCTTGTGTTTCACCTGCACCTCTGTTTTCTAAGCACTGAGCCTGGTTCGGTCTCCTCTAGCCCCTGCTGTGCCAGCGACTGTTGGAAAGAGACCTTTGATCACGCTGGACAGATTACCGCAGGCTAATGGAGCAATTCTCCCCTTCTGAGACTCAACGCGAGTCTCATCGGCAGCGTGTGATCAGTTTGGCTCATTAGTTAATAAGGTTAATGAGGACACCGGTACGTACCATCTGATATGAAAGGGGAAATGTCTAGCCAGGGTGATTGCTCAAGATGACACAGCAAACTGCTGATGGAGCTGGGGGCGAGCAGGGCAGGGCTTTGCCTTACAGCCTGGACTGGGTTTGGAGTCATCCCAGCCACCCTTTGGAGCAAGGGGACACAGCCGTGAGCTTGAGGAGGAGGCTCAAAATTCAGTCTGGAGTTGAGTCTGGGCAAGGATGATGGGGAGATACAAGATGGCAGCAGGCAGTCAAGGCTGGAAATATTGTCCATTATCAAAGAGACTTATGAACTTTTGAAGAGCTTCACAGCCGATCCACAACTCCATTTGCAAAGAAACTCAGAGGATCTCCCTTTCCCGAACAGGCTTATTATCAATAGCATCAAATAATGGGATGTTACCATTTCTATCCAGTTTTAATGATTTATCACACCTGAATTATGCACCATCAGTGAGAGTAATTTTCTCTGATTTGGACAGGTGGATGGAATTACGTCTCTCTTTGTTTGGTGTGCTAAACAGAATCAAAATTAAAATTTTGCCTAGTCTGGCTTATCTTTGCTAGACAGTCGCTATTATTTCCCCTACTCTGTTTCTCTTCCCTCTCCCTGCCACAACTGAAATAATTTGATTATGAGCTGGAGCTCATAATTGTGAGCACGACTCACCTCAAATCAGATTTCAAATTCCTTGACTGGAGTGCAATCTCAGTGCTACCAATCTCCACCACGTCTGAGCAGAGTCCATCACGTAACAGGAAGGATCAAGCAGGGAGAACACATTCTGTGCGTCTTTGCAGACACCTGCACACAAACACACATACGTATTTGAATTTGTGTGCGTGCATGGGGAAGAGTGAGTGACAAATTGCTTTTCATCAGACAGCATGGCACTGGCTCCTGTACTCCACACTGTGGTCTTAGGGCTGCACAGCCCTTCATGGGGATCACAGTTAGGTCCCTGCATGTGTATGTGAGTGTACACAGCGGGGAGCACTCCCACGTGTCCTGCTGCGCGGCCCTGAGCGTGTCTGTGCACACCTTGCTGTGCATGTGTGTGTACGCAGGAAGGCAAGTAGGTGAGAGCGAGGAGGATATGATTACTCACAATATGTCTTTCCTCTGCTCGCCCTTTGTCTAGTATGTTCCCACTCGTGCTGAATTACAGTCACTGCGCCTGGGCTTTGCTTCCCAGTGTGGGATGCTGTGTTGTGCTAGATTCTATACATATTGCATTGTTTGCCTTCTTTTTTTCCTTCTCCTCCCTGCTCGTGGTTGTTTGTTTTCTCTTCATGTGTGGCATCAAAAGGCCGTTTGAACAGCAACTACCCAATCTGAATGAAAGGGGATGTTGCTCTTGGAAGATCCAACAGAAGCCTGAAGAGAACAGATACTAAATTATGAATTAGCTGGAGATTTTTCTCACTTCTTTTCTTCCTCCCTATTTTTTTCACTTTTTTTCTCCCTTCTATCTTCCTAACCCTAATTAAAATGTTCTGGGCACAAAACTGTAATGAAGGGCTGGACTCATTATTTTTGTTTATGGCAAAACCCAAGCAGAACAGAATTCTAAATGGGCTCTGGTTGAGTCCCATCTCCCTCCATAAAGACTGTAATAAATATCACCCACATTGATTTTCCTTCCCCACGAACCCATTGCTATTTGTTCTGGTCTAAGTGCATTGTGTTTTCCTCCGAGGTTTCCTTTGCTCTAACTGTTCTATTACCTGTTGTTGCTGTTAATCTGTGTTGAGTGTGTAATCAAGATCCTAAGAGGGAGGTTAAGAGAAACCCCCTCGGGAAGACATCTGACCTACATGAAGAAAAAGAAAAAATAAAATAAATAACCCAAGCCATTGAGGCCAACTGTTCCATTTACCTGGTGGAGCTATTTCCTTTATCAAGGGCTCTCATACATTCCAGGCTCAGCTTTCTTTCTGTAATTAGTTCTACATATGTGTTTTTAACCTCTACTTGATTTCTGCATTGATTTCTTTGCCTTGGGGGGATGTTTGCCTGTTGATTCCCTAGGCCTGATTTTCCCATTACCTGCAGTTGTCTGCAGAACTGGTGTTAGATTCAGGGACGTCACAGGCAGAAGTGGGATGTGGCCCCTTTTCTTTTCCCATCCGCATGCTGCTACTTAACATCTGCTATTTAATCTGGCCCACGCGATACAGTACATGTTGGGGGATGATGTAGAAGATGTCTTAAAGCACAAGTGGAAGCTGATTAATTCCCCCTGGGTTTCACAGGGAATGAAGCATGGGCATGGCTGAATGCCTCCTGGGAGACTGTCTGGGTAAGAAGCCTTCACCCAACCTAACCCACCACTCACCTGCTTCCTACCCACCCCTGGCCACTTGACCTGGGCAGTCCATGTCCTGAGCACTTGAACTTCTGGCCTCCCTTGTTTGGTTGCTGCCTGCAGGGACGTATCGCAAATATACGGAGTCTACTATTGCCTGCTCACTGTACCACTTCTTGAATCTCAGCAGATAAAGGGTTCTTAGTGTTTTCTTAATACCTCTTTGCAGTTTATTAGAGGCCTAAGAGGCATGAGGGGGAAGTGAGAATGTGACTCAGAAATCTCTGTTATGGGTCACATCCTTCCTTTGCAACCTCATTTCTAACTAGACTACTAAAAGAAAATCATCTAAGCCAAGTGGCAATGGTGAAGCATAAAGGCTGGTTGGAGGGACAAAACATCCCATCAGGTATCTCCAGATGCAATCAGCTTAGTTCAGTGAGTTTAATCTGCACCTTTCTGCCCAAACTGGGGCTATTGCTGTGACCATGGGAGGATTGTCGGTGCTGACAGTCATGGACGTGGCCAGCTTGATTCCCCCTCCAAACCTGATGAAAAAGTGGCCCCTCTTTGCTGCAGTGTGAGGATGACTTTGGGCTCTCAGCGTGGAGCTAGGAAGAGAAGTGGAGGTGTCCATGTGATGCCAGCTCTGCTCTCCCTGATGAATCCATTAATGGAGAGAGCATGAATTGACTGCTCCACTTGCTCTCTTGTTTCCACGCTATTTCCATCACGCCTGTTTCCAGGGACATCTAATAAACTGAAGCAAATTGGGATGAGGGATTATCAGGCATTAAATAGTGCTACGGAGCCAAACCTCCCACTCGGCTCATCATGATGAATTTCTATTCTCTCCCAGGAACTGACTGCGATCCAAACTGAGGCAGGGTGAGGAGTGGCTGCCGGCGTGTCTGTGCCTGTGTCAAGCAGTTGGGGCTGCTCCAGGTCCTGGCTTGTCTCTCGGTTAAGGTCAGGTCCTGTTTCTGTTGAAGCAATTTCACATCTCAGTGGGGGCTGGATCACGCCTTTAAGGAATTAGACTCTGCTTCAATTTATATAAATGAGAGCTAGTGCTGGTGTAACTCACAGGACTCTCAGTACAAGGGCCATAGCGGGGACCAGTTCTTCCTCTTATCAACAGATAGGATGATCTATCCTGCTCCTTAATCATGTCTAGTGGGGGTTCCCCCCTTTGCTTCCGTCCCCTTCATGAGTCTTCAGGCGACAGCCCTGATTATCCCTAAAACCAGCCCCAGCCACAATGACTTTCTGGAAGTCAGTGACCTGGATGTGACTTGCTGAATAGCTCCACTGAGTCCATTTGGCTCTGAGACCCCAAAACATTTGAAAAACACATTACAGCCTCAAAATAACACACAGTAATTGGCTTAAAATCATCAAGATTATTAAAACAGTAATAAATGTGCAATTCTTTTTTTACTCACCTTCTGACTCCGAGCAATTTAGATAACTAAGGGTTAGATTTGCAAGTTCTCTTCAATCCTATGAAGTTTTAAAAAATAAGAAAAGGACACTTCATAAAAATCATATAAACTCCAGAACTAGGGCCGTCAGAAAAGCAGGACGTACCATGAGGCTTGTGATGAATCATGGTGGTTTGCAACACTGAATGTATTCAAGTATGCATGGGAAAAAAAAATGAGCTCTACTTTTCAAGAAGTCCTCTTTGATCCCTCCTATTCTGTTCAGCAATTGCTCTGAGTGTTTGTATTGACTTTCCATGGAAAGTGGGCATATCCACGTAAAAAAACGTGTTACTGAAGGTTTTATAGAAGGAATATTGACCTTTCCACAGATGCTGAAGAGAAAAGAAAGCCCTGCTTCTCTATAAAAAATGAGATAAAATTCTATTTGATGATTTCTATAAAATGTTTACAGATTTTCATTTTTTCCTACTTTGGCCAAAATATCTTTTTTTTTTTTTTGTTCCCCTGCAAAAGCCAGAGGCAGAATATTTACAGGGAAGGGGGAAACATTTTTTAAAAAAATATTTGTGCTGGCAAATCTTTGCAAATTTGTAAGCTCCCAGATGCATCTAAATAAATAATAGCAGAACTTTGGCTGCCTTTGCAAAAAAAAATACATTGGATTTATGGGCTTGTTTCAAGTATAATCAGGATCTAAGTTAGGCTTACAGAGTATACGCAAGCTTTATAAAATTTACAATGGAAGCAGTACCTGTGCAGCCTTTACTTTGTGGGAAGTAAATCCAGGTACCACCCTCTCCAAAAACAGGTTGAACCCAATTTTTACTGGCAGGACTCTGACTGCTACTGTCATGTCCTGCAGTGGCCACAGGCTCGCGGGTCCTCCCAGAGATGCTGCGGATTTTCAGGTGGTGACCCTCAGTGCCCTTCTTGGGTGAAAAGGTGAGTCTCTGCACCCTGGGAGAAGAAAAGTGGTAGAGGGTTAGGTTGGACCATGGATATTAGCTCCCCTGGGGGATACTTGCTCATGAAGCTTCATGTGGCACTGGGCTGGATGAGGCTAAGCTGGGCAAAGAAAGATCCGTCCTATTTACAAGTTGGGGTCCTGAGGGATCCTATGGCACCATCTGCCCCCCTTTTAAGAGCTGCTGCCAGTTCTTCATGAGAGCAGTTCACATCTTCTGCCTCCGCTGCTCATTGCCTCCCTTGGCTCAGATCCTGGCAAGAGCTCGTCGCTTAACAGCAGCGCTTGCCCTAACTGCTGCAAGTCATCGATCAAGCCTCTTCCCTCCCCAGCGCAAGAGCATCTGCAGCAATCGCAATGGCTTAAATCAGGGCCTGGTCCTTTACTGCCTTAGTGGTTTTCAGCTTCGTGTTTTCCAGGTTTTCTGCCATGGAGAGAGTATAGAAATGTTCTCCTCATTTTTAATGAAAGCTGAGATAATCTGTGTCACAGGAGACTGAGCACCACAAAAGGTTTCCAAAGAATTTAAAGAGCTACCACCTAATACACTGCGGTCACAAGCAACCTGTTGTCTGAGATAACCTACAACCACTGATAATTACAACGTGCTTAAATATCCATTAATTAAAAATGTATAAACTTGTTCTATGTATAAGCTTCATAAAGTACATGATCTCTGCTTCCCTCTGAAACCTCTTTCTTTCTTCCTGCTGAGCCTTTTATTTCCCTATCAGCTCTCTTTGTCTTCTTTCTCTGTCTTTTCTCAGCCCCTGATGGCTTTGCTCAGCCTCTGTCATTTGTGTCTGGCTCTGGAAACATTTCTCAGGACGTTTGACTCATCCATCATTTAGATAATCAGAAGGAAAAAAATCCAGTTTCCAGCTGTGAACATCCATAAAAAGTACCAAGGAAAAACCTTGAACTTCCCTTCCTGCTTTGCTTTTCTTCTCATTCGAGAATCTGACTTGACAGTCTTTGCTCTGGTAAAAGTCCCACTGAAGTTATCAAGGGTAAGAGCTTGTCAGGATTAAGAGGAAGGATTTGAAATATCTGTGAGTGATAGCAGTAGCCCCAGTTCTATTAGGCTGGATAAGAATCCGAAAAGGATATTAACCCTGGTGCCTTGAGCAACTTGCTGACTGCCCTGCAGGGAAAGGAGGTGGTGTTGCCAGTGGGGACACTGGCCCAAAGCTGCCAGTAATAAGGTTTCAGATCTCTTCCCTTGCAGAGCTGAACTCAGACCACTTCTTTTTGAAGTTTGCAACTCGCCATCGAAGAAGTGTTAAAGAACCCGTGGGCAGTCAGGTGCCTAAAAGGGAATTAAGAGCTAAAACTGTTAGTGCTGGCGCTGTGGCTGGGTGCACCAGAGTCCATCGGGGAGCACGTTATGCACTGCGCTGCTGCTTTGAGGGTTGGGGCGGAAAGGCCCCATCGGCTGCACCCTGGTAAGCGGGTGCTGATGATCAGGAAGCACACAGGCAATCGGGAAGTGATGCTGGCCTTGCTCCCTGGTGCTGGCAGAAGCACGGCAGCCAGAGATGAGTGTAAGCTGGAGTAATGCTACCATCTTCCAGCACTGCCGCATCCATTTTCTACCACTGTAAACTCTTCCTCCTGCTTCTCTGCTCCCGTTTCTCAGCGAGCGACTGTTACCACAGCTCATACATCCATTTGGCCCATTTGAAACGTTAAGTGCAACTCCTGGGCAAAAGGCCAAAGGACAGCAGATCAGGAAAGGAGAAATCAGGATGGGGGCAGTTAAACAAGCCTCTGTTACACCTTGTTGCACTTTTTGGGGGCCCACAGCACTGGACAGACCCAGGGACCGTGCGTACTCCTGGCTGGGCCCGGTGGAGGACCTGCTTCACGGCGGGCAGGCAGAAATCCCAGCTTTGTGCGGGAAATCGGAGCTCTGCTCCTGCTGACGCCTGCTCCTCCGCTGTAATTCCTGGCCTGACACACATGGCATCTGTACGTGCACGTGATTCACTAGCCCCGCTGTCAGGGGGAGATCACACTAATGCGGATGTTAAAATCAAATAAATACTGAAACAAATTTAAAACAAAAATAGCATTTCAGAGGCTGTGTTTCA